AACTGTTTCTGCTGGCCAGCCGCGTCGGGATCCCAAAGGAAATCCTGACTGACCAGGGTACCCCCTTCATGTCCCGGGACATGGCGGACCTCTGTCACCTCCTCAAGGTCAAACAACTGAGGACGTCAGTCTACCACCCGCAGACGGATGGCCTGGTGGAGCGATTCAACCAGATGCTCAAACGGATGCTGAAGCGGGTGGTGGCTGAGGATGGGCGTGACTGGGACCTCATGATCCCGTACGTGCTCTTTGGGGTCCGTGAAGTACCACAGGCCTCCACAGGCTTCACCCCCTTCGAACTGCTGTTTGGGAGACAGCCCAGGGGCCTTCTAGACGTGGCTCGGGAAGCCTGGGAGAACCAGCCCGCCCCCCTTCGTAGCCTCGTCGAGCACGTGCGGGAGATGCGGGGAAGAATAGACCGGGTCATGCCGCTGGTTAAGGAACATCTCGTGACCGCCCAGCGCGCCCAGCAACGGCTGTACAACCGGCCCGCCCAGGCCCGGGAGTTCCAGCCGGGAGATTGAGTGGTGGTACTGGTCCCGACAGCTGCGTGCAAGTTTCTGGCGACCTGGCAGGGGCCCTACACCGTAGTGGAACGGATGGGACCGGTGACGTACCGGGTGCGGCAACCGGGCCACCGACGGACGGAACAAATCTACCACGTCAACTTGCTAAAAAAGTGGGTTCCCCGGCCCGAACAACTGGCCGCGCTAGCCCATACCGGGCCTCCGGTAGTGGACATGGAACCGCAGCTGTGGAGCTCGTTCCCGCTGGCCTTAAAAGCCAGGAGAAGAGACACCAGCGGGAGGGCACCCCAGAGCTCCAGGCGACATTAATGCTTGTTTCTGATTGTTCACAGACTCTGAAGGCACCCTGGGAGAGGGATCTGCACCACGGCACTTCACCCCACGAGCACCACGCTGAGACGGGCACCGAGCACCATTCCTCAGAGCACATGTGATCAGTGTGTGGGCAATAAATCACCCTCCGGGGCTCTTTCGATCAGTACCGAGTCTGTGTTCTCATTCACCCCGCGACACAACATTGAGGGGATGCGTGAAAGAGGCTATGAGAGGATGCCCCCAATAGAAGAGATGCTAGCTAGCTATCTCCCTGTGGGTGAGACATCCTCTCTCA